CCCCCCCGCCCCTACCCCGGGCCCTCGGCTGATGGAATGCTTGGAAACCTGGTGGGCATAGATCAACAAGGGGAACTCCCCCTTCCACGCTCAACCAGGTCTCGGTGATACCCGCCAGGTCCGCTCCCCCCTCGTGAATCAGTTCTTGAATGAGGGGGGCCTTATTTACTACGGACCTGGCGTTGCACAACATCAGCCGATGGGCCCTGGCCGGAGGATCTAAGGTCCCTGGAGATCGAGTGGAGCTCTGAGGATCGGAGCACCCACAAGCTTGTAAGTAGCGTGTGCGTGCTCCCGGAACCTGATATGGTCCTCTGCTCCCACCATACCTGCCCCTCCCACTGACCGTACCTATCACACCACCCTCCGCCAGCCCCCCAGTTTCCTCCCTTACCATTCCGCGCCCCCCAGACAGGACCGGCCTTGGCCTCCGAGAGGACTCCCCTGGTTCCCCTCGTGCCAACCCCGAACCCCCTAAAAATTTAGAGAAGCACCCCTCTAAGAAGGCATGTAATTTCCGCCTCCTTAGATCCCTCCATACTGCCGCTGCATGCCACCTCTCAGGGTTCCAAACCCTTTCATTAAGGCCGGCCCTCGGGATCGTGTTGGGCCATGCCTGCGCGATGGGGGAGTCGCGCAGGGCCAGCAGGTCCCTCCTAGAATACAGTCCCAAGTCTTAGAAGGAGGTCCAACAGCAGAGTTGGGAAGGGGGAAAGTCCTCGTGGTGGTGGTCAAGGGGTTAGGTAGATTGGAAGAAGGTAGCGTAGTTCGTTGTTCTTTGTACCCCCCACAGAAAAGAGGGGGGGAGGGAGTTGCACTCAGGGTCGGCCATCCAGCAGCATAGGCCTCCAGGCCCGCCAAGCCCAGTCTCACAGGTCCCCAGGGCCACCAGGCACTCACCGTCAGGTGTATCCCTCCGGCCAGTGCCTCCTTTAGGCCCTGTCCTCCGCCCGGACCGTTCATCCGTCCGGGCCACTGTGCTGCCGAGCCGGCACGCCCTCCGGGCCACTGTCCACACGCTGCTGAGCCGGCACAACCGGCACAGCCTCCAGGCCAGTCGGGCCGCCAGATCTTCAACAGGCCGCAGGGCCGCCACTGTGTCGGGCCGCCAGGCAGCCACGCCAGGCCACTAGGCCGCCGCAGCCTCGGGTCAAACGTTTCCGGAAGGCCGCCAAGCCGCCATCGTGCCCAGCCGCTGGCCATTACCACATCGGGCCACCGCCACGTCCGGCCGCTGATCTTTCTGGCCGCTAGGCCCCAAATCGTCCGGTCGCCGATATTCCAGGCCGCTAGGCCCCAGGTCGCCCGGCCGCCGGTCTTCTCGGCCGTTAGGGCCCACGTCGTCCGGCCGCCGATTTGATGATGATGATGATGATGATGGAATGTTTCCTACTCAGGCAGGAAACCCTATACCATTTCGGACAAATGGCTGTCCAGTCTCTTCATAAAAACTTCCAGTGTTAGAGCATTCACCGCTTCTGGAGGCAAGTTGTTCTACTGATTAATTGTTTTAACTGTCAGGAAATTTCTCCTTAGTTCTAGGTTGCTTTTCTCTTTGATTAGTTTCCATCTATTGCTTCTTCTCCTGCCTTCAGGTGCTTTGGAGAAGACTTCCTTTTCTTTGTGGCAATCCCTGAGATATTGGAACACTGCTATCATGTCACCCCTAATTCTTCTCTTTATTAAACTAGACATACCCAATTCCAGCAACCGTTCCTTATATGTTTTAGCCTCCAGTCCCCTAATCATCTTTGTTGCTCTTCTGTGTATTTTTTCTAGAGTCTCAACATTGTTTTTACATTGTGTGACCAAAACTGGATGCAGTATTCCAAGCGTGGCCTTACCAAGGCATTGTAAAGTGGTATTAACACTTCACGTGATCTTGATGGTTCCTCCTGGCTACAAGACTAAGCCCTTTCCACAAGAGACTCAGAAAGTATTTCATGGTGCTCTCTTTATTCATATGAAAATGGTCTAAACAGGAGTCACCACTAACAGTTATGAGTTATTTTTTGGTGGAATTTTTCTAACCAAGACTTGATGGTCATCTGCCATAGATGTTTTGGTGGATCATGTATTGAGCAGAAGATTGGACTAATTGGTCTCCAAGATCACTTTCTATTCTGGGATACTAATGGAATAGAAGAATGACCAAATAACACAGAAGTGGGAGCAAACCATTCAGTTGGTGGCTTATCTCATTCAAGATGATCTCAGCCAAGATGACAAGAAACATGGGAAGCATTTGCAAAAACACTGCTTTTTGTTTTTCTTCAAAGTGCACACCAAGCATGCATTGACAGTAGTGGGAACAATAAGACAAGTAGGTTTAGGTGGAGCAGTGGAGCCAAAGAGAGGACAAAAAAGGGACATATTGGAAAGGGGGAAATAGAAGGTTGCATGGTTGTTAAGTACAAGCAAGTTGCCAAGTTGCTGAATTTTGATCATCTGACTCCAGGGTGCTGCAATTGCAATAACTTTGAGCACAAGTTGTAAGTCATTTTGATCAGCACTGTCAAAACTTTGAACATTCACTGAAGAAATGGTGGTACGTTGAGCACCAAACATATGTTGTAACCAAAGAGATAAATGTATATACAATATAAATGTACTTATAAAAAAGATGGGTTTTTTTAAAACTCAGAAAGTTGGAAATTAATCAAACAGGACATAAGAATAAATTAATCTTGGGGAAAACATGTCACATATGTTTGTAATTGCTGAAAAATTCTGATATCCTTTCAGCTCAATGACTTATACTGGAATCCAGAATTTCCTTTCCTTTCTGCTTTATGATCATAAGATCCAAACAATATTACCCAGATATTAGATCATATTAACAGTTCTCTTTTAAAGAAGATCAAATTATTATCTTCACTAAATATGTCACATAAATAATCAGAACTAAAAGAAAATATTTTATTAAAATCAGAGTCACTCATTATTCAGTGAGAGATTTTATTTCCATTTCCATACATGAGAGTTTAACACATGCATTTATACATGCCAAGAATGTACAGTATTGGAAAAGTTGGCAGAGTTAAAACGCAAACTCTGTTTATACTCTTAGAAGAGGATTACTAATTCTATTTTATACTGGAAATACATGTAGCCATGATTTAATAGTCAGAAATGCTTTTTCTTTACAAGTTGCTCTTTGCTATTCAGCTCAGGCCTCAGCAAAATAATGTAGCATTTGGGGAAAAAGATACTTCCCAATAACCCAGCACTGGAAGCTAAGATGGAGAAGATCTCCACAGCTACCATATACTTTCCTTTGGTGCCCAAATAAGTGGGAACAAAAGTTAACCAAACACTACAAAACATCAGCATGCTAAAAGTGATGAACTTGGCTTCATTGAATGTGTCTGGCAGGTTCCTAGCAAGGAAAGCCACCATGAAGCTGATCAGAGACAGAAACCCCATATAGCCCAAGACAAGATAAAACATAATAACAGATCCTTCATTACATTCTGCTAGGATCTCTTTAGTCATTGATTTCATGTTATGTTCTGGAAAGGAGGGAGAGGTGATCATCCATGCCAGACAAATGCCTGCTTGAATGAAGGAGCCAGAAAAAACAATTAAGAAGGACAATCTTTTCCCCAACCATTTTCTCATGCCAGACCCTGGTTTGGTGGCCATGAATGCTACAATGACCATGATAGTTTTAGCCATCACAGAAGAAATGGCCACAGAGAAGATAATGCCAAACACGGATTGTCGGAGGAAGCAAATCAGTTTAAGAGGTTTTCCAATGAAAAGAAAAGAGCAGAGGAAGCAAAGCAGAAGGGAGATGAGAAGAGTGTAGGTGAGATCCTTGTTGTTAGCTTTAACAATAGGGGTATCTTTATACGTAATAAATATTCCAAGTATGTATATAGCAATAATTGAAAATAAAACAGCAACCACAATTAAACTGATCCCTAAAGGTTCTTTAAAACTTAGGAAAGTTATGATTTTGGGGATGCATTGAACCTTGTCCTTACTTGGATATTGATCTTCTGGACATTCAGAACAAGCAATTATGTCTGCAAGTAAGAAGAGAGGCTATAAAGTATGGAATCTAATCATCATCATTAATCAAGTGATTAATATATATATATATATATAATCATATGATCATACTTGGCTTTTTTCTATGGGAACCAAAATATGTAGATATATATATTTTTCTGTCTATCATCTATATGCCTATCCATCTACCCATCTATCCATCCATCCGTCTGTCCATCCATCCATCCATCCATCCATCCATCCATCCATCCATCCATCCATCCATCCATCCATGCATCCATCTATCTATTTAAGAAATTTATATAGCTGCCCATTTCACTAAAAACACCTCAGGGCAGTGCAGAACAATAACATAAAATAACAATGTAAATAACCCAAATATAAATAGCCCAAATGTAAAACTCCATATCAAAAGATACAGTAAAAGATACATATCAACCCTAGGAGATAAGAGGGATACAAATTACTACTTCAACAATATAACCTTCCGGTAATGGCGGACCTACCTGGGGCGGCTCCGTGACGGAGCGAGGTCCACGGCAGAAATGGGGGGCTTCCCGAGGGGCGAGGGCTTTGCCCCGACCCCAATTTGAAGACCTGAACTCGCCGGCAACCTGGGGGTTTACTGTGTGACTCCCCAGCCACTCAGCCACCCAGTCTCTGACGCCGAAAGGAGGACTCGGTCTGGCGAAGGGACGAAGGGCTTGGCGGAAGATCTGGCCTGGATTCAGCCCGGGA